CTCCTTTTAACAAACCGAATATGGTGAGATTCGACCCCGGGTCGCATGGTCAGAATGCGAACGTTCTAACCACTAGGCAACGTGCTTATAATCGGCCACGTGCCCATATTCGGCCACGTCCCCATATTCGGCCACGTGTAGACAGGGAAATAAGTAATGTGAATATGAATGTCGTCACGATGTGCCAGAAAAAAAAACAAAACAACAAAAAACGACGAAGACAATATCAGAAAGAATAGCATTTTAGAGATAATTTTCTCTGGACAAAATGTCTTATTCTTTAAGTCGGCGCCTTTGCCGTCAAAGCCCCATTATTTTGGATCTTTTCTCTTGGACTGAATTCTTAGACAATGCATAGCATCCATTCATCATATTTATATATTCCTTTCAATGTGTCCAGTATCCACTATATATATATATATATATATATATATATATATATATATATATATATATATATATATATATATTTATATATAATGTAAGAAGAAGACACAGGCTTTTTAATTATCCATTTCTGTTTATAATTTCTATTTTGGGAACATCGATATACTTAACACATCCATCAGGAAGTGCGAGAAAAGTAACTGATAGCATAAAAATTATGGTCACATCTAGCTATTTTAATTGTACAGTGATGGAACCTATTTTGGCAATCTAGTACGGCACTTAAATTGTAAAGTTGAATATATATATATATATATATATATATATATATTAAAATTTTATATATATATATATATATATATATATATATATATATATATATATATATATATATATATTTATTTATAAAATTATATATATGTCTTCTCATTAATAATTTGATTATTTCTTTCGCGGTAAATTGACGTCTGACTTCAAAGAATCAAAAATAGTTATTTCTGTTGTAAACGGACAAAATTTGGCATCGTGGTGTTATCAAGTAAGTACAGTAAAAGGGTTAAGCCCCCAAGGACATAGATGCTGACATATTTGTTCATTAATGGATGACGCTCCAGCTTTATCAACAGTGCAAATGTCTTTACTTGAGTTTAGGAGGGGCAGGGAGAGTCTTGAACATGACCCAAGATCTGGACTCCTTTTAATAGCCACCTCCGATAAAAACATTGATCGTATTTACTACTGGATGATGCATGACAAGCTATTGACTATAAATAAAATAAACAATTCTATTAGCATATCCCGTGAGAGAGTTGAGAATATTCCGTACAATAAACTTGGCATGATGAAGGTGAGTACGATGTCTTCTGACACATGATCAAAAGTGCGCATCACATCACGGGGAAATCGGGCATTTTTTAGGCAGATCCAAATGATTTCCTTGAACGTTTACTAACCCAGAATGGGTGTTGGGTTCATCACTCCTGTGAGAGATAGAGGTTGTATGGTCGAAAATAATTCGTCGCCTACGAGGATACGCACGCGTAATATAAGGACTTAAAATTACACCTACTATATGATTTAAATTACGCCCAGTATTGAACTTAAAATTACGCCAACGATAGGACTTAAAATTACACCCACGACTAGTGTTACATTTACACCTAATATATGATTTACAACAAATTACGGCTAACAGGGGATTTGCCGACTGCGCTAAGATTTATCTCACAGAAATCATCTCAACAGTTAAATCGGCGGAAGATGGCAGCGCCATTCGTGATGGGGTAACCCAGGCGGATTTTGGCAGACCAAGTATCTGGCAACCCGTTCCAAAAAAGGTTTGCCAGTCTTCGCCTTAAACAATGTTTAAAATAAAGTTAGATTTACGCTTAATATATGACATAATATTACGCCAACCATTGGACTTAAAATTACGACTGCAACAGGACGTAAAATTACGACCAGTGCTTGACTAAAAAAAAATTGTGCCTACTAGTAAGCATATTTTTACGTCCTACACTAGACGTAATTATAATTCAAGAAGTGGGCGTAATGTTACGTCCTATAGTAAGCGTAATTTTTTGTCTACTAGTATGTATCATTTTAAGTGCAGTAGTCGGTGTAATTTTAAGTCCCACTGCAGGTCATCTCTTTATGATGTCGCATTATTTTTTCTCCGATTTAAATGATATATCCATTTCAGTTGTCGCCAATGTTGAAAGTTCTCGACTAATGTGTTTTCTTTTATTTGTTACAGTTCTTTGTTTTTGATAGTGTAGCGCCAGTCGACGAGGTTCGAAAAAGAATGGTGATCTCTGAGATGTACGGGCTTCATTCCTTCGTAGCCGTTTGTAATCTTTGATAACATTGGGAAAACGGTTAGGAGATAAGTAGATAATTCCTTTTCCTATTTAAGTCGATTTAATTATATGGGTTTATTAGGAAATTCGCCTCCAGTCCATCCTTTTGTCAACTTAAGTTTCAGAGTTTTCATGATTTCTGATTCCAGCCGCCTTTGAATTGGCAAACATAAAATTTTGTCAATGATTTTAGATAATCATAAAAGTAGAAATTTTAAAAAGTTGACCACCCAAAAAGCCGAATGTTCCGGAACACAAAAGGACGGATAGGGGTTGTTGGGCCCTAGCCAGTATCCATATAATTAGAGAGAGGCAGGAAGTCAGTAAGTATGTAGGTGACCAGCAAGCTGCCCAGCGGCCAGGTGGGAAGGAACCAGCGAGCAGTTAGAGAACAGTCAATTATCGAAGCCGAAGGGAAAGATTGGTGGTTCAGTGAGAATTCGTATTGTTGCCATTTCCCAGTCAGTATCTTGAAAAGCATTTGTCGTTATTTTTTCTTGAATACGATCACGGCTAAGGAGACAAATCCGTAAACATAGCGAGTCGGGTATATATATATATGCAGGTACAGTCAATTTTGGATGTCATCACAGGTGCATTGAACGACGGACTAGCGGAACACGTCGTCACAGTTGTATGTATCGGGCTGTTGAGATATTTCTTAACGTGTCTGGGCTTGCCTCCACCTCACGCAGAAAACCGCTTCTCGTACTATCACCAATGTTAAACAACGTTGGGCCTGGTCAGTACTTAGATGGGTGACCGCTTGGCAATATCAGGTGATGGATAAGGACTTGAAATTGTTAGTCAGAGAGCTGAGTTCCAATTCTCTTTGGATTTGTCATTTATGCCCAAATTTCTCTTGGGAAACGCATAAATCCATCCCTTCTTCCCCTAGCTGTGAATTAATTAGTAAGACTTCTATAACTAAACCGTTATTATCTTTAAAAAACAATCTTACAATATAAAAATATTTTCTGGCTTTAAATAAAATACAAAGGGTTGATAGCCCGTAAAAATCAATCAGTTAATGAGTTTGGTGACATGCATAATGTCCATATGAATGTTTCGATATGACGAAGTTATATAAGATTAACCTAAAAATTCTAGTCATTTATCACTCCCCGTCCTCACATTCCAGTCTTGACAGAGTGCAGAAGAGTCTCCGAGTTCTTGCAGGTGACGAATTATTTTCAACCCTACAACCTCATTCTCTCACATGCTGGACGTGGCGAGTGTCTCGTTTCTCTATTGGTACTTCTAGGGAAAGTGCTCGGATAAACTAATTCCCTCTTTCTGCAGGGTCTAACATTCATGGCTAGGACCCACCATACCATTTACATTGTAGCAAACCATCCACACCACCTTCGTATTCCATCGGCGAGAGACTTCCGCTCAAACAGCTTCTTCCTGCAAACCACTGCTCTATGGAACAAACACTCAAGAGAATGCTTTCCTATCACTACAATCTTAACCCATTCAAGTCTAAAGTTAACCATTATCTTCTTCTATCCGTATAAACTATACCTTAATGTAACCCTCTACCGAGAGAGGCACTCGGGCCTTGTACAGGGTGAACATCACTGTAAAAAATGACTCGTGTTATTAGGTTAATGTTTTCATTTTATAGCATGTTGCGGTGCTGGAAAAACCTCTCCCTAGTGCAACTTATAACTGATCCATACACCAAGGACTGTTTAATGTTTATTTAAGTTCTGGATTTTTATGATGTCTTAAGAGGTAGGTACCATCATTACTCTCATTCCAATTCCAGATCATAATTTCTGTTTTGGAAAGTTTCGTCCCGTCTCCTACTTCTTGAGACACTCGGTGAAGAATTTTGGTTATTTTTCTTTTCAGGATAATGTGTTTAGGCATCGTGTTGAAAATGTTTACAGTCTTTTGGTTTTTAAGTGATTTACTTTTTACAAATAACGGTTGTTTCACACAAATGTGCTTTCTGTAAATTAACATACAGAAGAAATACTGTCATTCTAATTAACTCATTATATTTTCAGGAGTATTTTTCTTTCTTTTTTTTTTAAGTACAGTGTTGTTTTGCTTTTAATACACTTTACTTAATTAATTAAAACTTCTCACTGGATAATCCCTGTCTGAAAGATAAGTTTAAAAAAAAACCCAGCTATCTTCGCCATTACTGGCAAGTAGCTAATTGGAAAACGAACTGTTCACCCTTCCGGATTTGGAGACGCATATCAGCAGACATTTTATCTATCGGCTGGATATTTTCTTGTTTACATTATTTACACGCAAACTTTTGTCCTCATCTTTGTTGCTGTTATCAATACAAGAACAAAGATGATGACAATAGTCAGCCTGTAAATAATGGAAAACAATGTACTGATAAGTCATATAGTAAGGGTAATTTGAAGTCTTCTCCGTGGTATAACTTAAAACTCTGTCCTAGGCGTAATTTGAAGTACTCTAGTAGGCGTAATTTGGAGACATGTACTAGGTTTTATATTGAAGTCCTAGCGTAGACATCATTTGAAGTCCCACCAAAAGGTGAAATCTGAAGTTCAAATGAATGCATAATTTGAAGACGGCTTATATTAAAATTATCACCGTAGGCGTAATTTGAAGACCATTCAAAGGACTTATATTGAAGTAGGCGTAATTTGATGACATAAACTATAATATAATAACTTAAGTTATGCAGAGGACACTGTTGCAGTAGGCGTAAATTTAACTTCAACCATCAGGCGTATTTCTAAGTATTATACTAGGAGTAGTTTTATGTCCTATATTAGAGATATTTTATGTCCTATTGCAAGCGTATTTTAAAGTTAAATCGTGGGAGTAAAGGCATGGTAGGAGTAAATTTATTTTCAATCGTGGGCGTAATTTTACGCCCTGTAAGAGGCGTAATTTTAAGTATTATAACAGGTGCAATTTGAAGTCTTATCCTAGGCGTAGTTTTATTAAGTCCTAGAGTACGCGTAATTTGAGGTGTAAATGTAACTTTAATCATGGGCGTGATTTGAAGTTTTATCATGTAAGTAAAAATGTCAATATAATACATGTAATTTGAAGTTCAATAGTGGGCGTAATTTTATGTTTTATAGTAGACGTAATTTGAATTATATATAAATTTCCAAGAGGATAGAATCCAGGTAGAACTCAATATCCAGGACAGAGTAAGAATATAATAAAAATATATATATATTATATATATATATATATATATATATATATATATATATATATATATATAATATATAATATATATAAATACACAAGGTTATTTACATTTTTTTGATGATGTTGAGCAAAAACATAACTGGATGTGTGTGTTTAAGAATCGTATTCAAGAACATTGGAACGAGTCGATGCTTAGTGGGGAAAAGTCATTCAGGCTACCGTAATAGCCTACTGAAAAACACAGCATCTTCTCATGAATTATTGTCGCTGGTGGAAGTTAATTGACAATATCTTCCCGCCGTTTTATCATTAGATTTTCAGTTAAAAGAAAGTAGATGCTTCCTGAATTTATTTAACAAATTCGATAAAATACGATTGTGTGTAGGAGGGGGTATCTTGTACAGGGAATATCTCTCCCAAAATTACATTTTAAATTGAAAATTTTGTATCGTCTTATACCTTCAGTCGCCTTGTACGTCAGCATATAAGGTATATATGTTGATTTTCTAACCGTAGTGTAGATGCAGCACAAGGCCGAATGTACGGAGCACACAGTAAGGATTGAACTCACTACTAAGACGTAGTTGTTTTAGTGAGACAAGTTGGTTAACCACTACACCACGACGAAGTACCCAGTCGACTTATATATGTATGAAGGTAAAGCAAACGGAGTATAAAGGTTGGTGGCAGAGATTGGGCTATTAGACGGTCTCGCTCCAGCTATCGTTCGGTCCACTCATTTGCAACCCAGACACATGACATTGTCCCATTGAACATTTGCTCTGTACGTTCTGACTAAACCAACACATCCGCAATATGTTCGCTTGTGTATGTGCGTGTTCGTTTTCTAGATGAAGAGTGCATCACAGTCAGTTTACGCCGACATCGGCACTGCTGTAAAAGCCTTTCGCATCAGAGTCACTGTCGTTATATGTCGGTGAAGATTTAAATGATAAATCATCCCTTGAGTGGAGTTGGAAGGCGCGATCAGAGTGAATGCAGCCGCCTGTAAAATTCGCTCGCCGGCGGTCAATTTCGAGCTTCGCACTGTTAAACGTCCTATCATCAAATTTTCCAATAAACTTTTCACGATTTTAACCCAGGTATTTCTACAAACACCCATACACGTATCATAGTCATCCACAGAGAAACTGTTTCGTTGTATCACTGCTCTTCAGTGTGGATAGACGTTCGATTGTTTCAAGTAGGGTTATTACTTTAACTATATGTTCCTATGTTATAAATCGATGAACTTTTGTTCAGAAGTAATCAAAAAGACATTAATTTGTTTAGTTATTGAAAAGATCACCCCCCCACCTCAACAGAAAATTAGATTTTACTCGCTACGCAATACGGATCAAAATATCAAAATATTTCAGAAGCTTTATTCTTCAATTTGATAATGATATAATTGGATATTAATGTTGTATTTTTTAACACATTTAAAAGTTTATAATTATACCATAAGTTACAACCTTACAATTAAACAAATAATTCCAAAATTGTAGAAGCTTTGTTTTTCAATTTTCTAACATAGAAAAGAGTATTGAACAGTTAAGTTGAAAGGTTGCGTGTATATATATATATATATATATATATATATATATATATATATATATATATATATATAAAGCTCAAAGTTTGTGCGTGAATCTGCTCGACAGCTTTAATATTAAATGAAGTTACTTAAGCTTAAACTATTAATAAATTTCTACCCACTCATATAATATATATATATAAAGCTCAAAGTTTGTATGAGTGTCCGCTTGAAAGCTCTAATATTAAATAAAAGTTTCTTAAGCTTAAACTATTCATAAATTTTACCCACTCATATATATATATATTTATGTATATATATATATATATATATATATATATATATATATATATATATATATATATATATATATATATATATATATATATATATATATATATATATATATATATATATATATATATATATATATATATATATATATATATATATATATATATATATATATATATATATATATATATATATATATATATATATATATATATATATATATATATATATATATATATATATATATATATATATATATATATAAATATCAAAGTTTTGTGCGTGTATCTGCTCGAAAGTTTTTTAATATTACATAAATTTACTTAAGCTTAAACTATTCATAAATTTCTACCCACTCATATAATATATATATATATATAAAGATCAAAGTTTGTGCGTGTGTCTGATCAAAACAATAAAAATAAAATTGCTTACGCGTAAACCTTTCACGATTTCGATCTTCGCAATGTAAAACGTCCTATCCTCAGACTTTTCATTAAATTTTTCAGTTTTAACTCAGATATTTCTACACACACCCATATGTATCACACACACACACACACACACACACACACACATATATATATATATATATACACCTTTGCCAGACGTTTTTCTCGAGTATTTTCTGTAGAAAGTGAAGCTCTACACCTCTTCCTACACCTACCTCTTGTAGTGGAGGACCTCATTCAAGGCCAGTTTCATGGAGGAAATTGTAACACACATTTCCCGCCCCAAAGCCTGCATAACCTTGCCTCTGTCTTCTATCACTTTCTCCTGCAACTGTTGGATG